ATAAATATCGAAGCCAATGGTTCTCGAACATCTGTAACATACAAGGGATTAGTAACAAGAGAGGGGACACAAGAATATGCACAGTAAATAAATTAATAATATGCACAGTAAATAAATTGATGGTTGTCGAATGCCTGCAACAAACAAAGGATTATTAGTAACAAGAGAAAGGACGAGTACGAGACACGCGACCACCCTCCGCGACGGTTCACGAGAAAGTGAGGAAGCAAGCACAGACCTGCACGGGATGGTACGACCTTGGTACACGGCGTACACGGCTAAGTCAATAAACTGGGTGACGCAACTCACTAGCGCGTTGGATCGACGGAGAGCACCGATACTCGGCACGCTCTACCGTACTCTCTCGCTCGCACACCTCCCTCCCATAGACCACCGAAATTCCTCGGCACGCGTCAACAGCGACGGAGAGCACCGATACCGCGGCTCGCTCTACCGCTCTCGCTCGCACGCCGTGACGTCACCCGATTCCCGGAATCCCGCGGCCACGAGATGGCTCATTACGGTAGGACATTCCCGCCAGGGAAATTGTAAGCCGCTGGCCAAAAGGTAGATTTGATAAACTATTTATGAAACTACATCTATTCTGAATTTGTCTGTTACAAATATACAAATGTAAGGCAAGATGTAAAAACGAATAAAACAAGAACATGTAAAAAGTAACATTAATAAAATGTCCATTAACATAACTATAAACCGCCCGCTTTTAGTACAAATAGAAATCCAGGTACAATATCTCATTAAATATAAACGTTACGATGGGAGCAATTTTAGATTCCGAGGGAGCAAATTAGGAGCAATTTTTAAAAATATAAATTGTTAAGAAACACTAATATTCGGCGCTAACTATTTTTCGGTCATTTGTAAGGGGTGGTGTGAAAAATATTCTATAGTATCATCTGCTGACAAGATCTGGTATTAATTGGCTAGTAGCTTGAGCATTTTGCTGCAGATGGCGTTATGAGTCATTTCCACTGCATTCATGCCCTCTGTAAAAAGAAATATTAATTAAAATAATCACAACTGACAATTACTACCACATGATATCAATTTAAAAGAATTTCACAAGTAATCTATCGTTACTGAAAGTAATGCTTAATTACAATATGCATATATTTCTGTATCGTTTGATGTATGCTGTTGCATCGGAATTTGAAAGAATTCGGACACCGATGCATATTATGGAATATTACCGTTTAAAAGGGATCACCTATTTAGGCTGATGTCTCTCGGCATGTGAAGGAATGACGTAGGCAACTATTTTCACCATCAAATTGCTAATCCCTCAAATAATCGACTGGCAATGATTTCGTTCACACGGCCCGCGGTTGGAGTGGGCGTCTACCAACTTCATTCGTCGTCCCAAAATTCCGTCGACCGACCTGAAACTTCAGATGCATGAACTGCGTTAATAAATAGTTCGCCAAGTTCTGTTAGTGTTGGATGATATTGGGCGGGGATAGGTTAACAAACAAGTTTCTTCGAGAGAACGGTACCAAAAACGACGTACGCAGATCTGAGAAGGGAAGGAGTCGTTCGTCGCGTTACTGGTACGATTTTATGGCACCTATATTTATCTAACTATTACATTACTATTACACTGTGGACTTTATGCATTTGTGATAAATATGAACATATGAAACAGAGATGAATGAACACTTCAGCAAGGATTCCCATTTTATTTATTCAGGAAATAAGAAAATATTTTATAATTCAAGCAGATGAGTCGCTAAATACTTTGAGCCATATGTTAGGTTGACAACTAAGTCTTCGTGTTTATGTGTTATAACTTTGGGGCAAACTTACCCGGGACAGTTCGATGACTATGTGCATACGTCATTTGGTTTTAGCCTGTGTTAGTGTGTAGCCTAAAAGTGTGTAGTTTCTGCAGTCATTTCAAAATTCATATTTAAGTGTTACGTTTCTCAGGCAATGCAGTCTTGTAAATTACGATTTTACACGACTACACATTGCAAAAGTCACACGACAAAAGTTAGCTGAATTAAATTTGGCCGAGATAGCACATGACGCCTAATGACGCCTTGTAGACGGCTTACAGGCGCCTTAGACCTAAAATAGCCGTAAAATGAGCGTCTTCAAGGCAGTTCACTTCAAGGTACCATGTGCTATCTGGGGGATGTGTTATAAGTTACATCATCCTCCATATTCGCCAGACGTTACATCATCGGATTATAATCTTTTTCGGTTATTTCAGATACTTTTTTAGATAATAAGAAATTGTATACGACTAAAGAGTAGTATATAAGAATTCATCGATTCGAAAAGATTTATTTATACAGATTTCGTTTATACAGAGATAGGGGGGAGGGAGCGAGAGATAACGATGGAGATTGCATTAATTAATTAAAACAAGAATAGCGCGATTAAAGAAACGCAGACTCTGTTTAATAAATTCTTATCTCAGTGGGCATAATTAGTAATTGCTGCATCAACAATCAGTGTCCAGTTAATCGTGTTATGTAAACGATACCGTTTAAAATGCATATAAAATTCTGATGAGCGATGCAATCGAAGGTTTCTTAATTAATTATACTAACATACTTCTTTTATATTCCCGGAACGGTAAATAATAACATATTTTTTAATAACTCACACTTACTATGCCGGTTTCAAGGACCACTAATAACAATTTTATGTCACCGATTGAAATCATTCGATAGAAAGTTGGGTACAGATGAACCTAGAAGAATATTAGCCAATAGACTGATAATGGTCGCCTGATTGTAAAAAAAGCAATGTCGACAGAGGTTACTTCTCTGTTTCATTTTCTATTCACAATAGATTTCTTTGTTGTTTCTTGCTACGACTGGCCCAGTTCGCCAGACCCATTGCTGCGAATTTTATGCAATCCCGTTTCGTCAAATGTACATCCTAAAAACAAATAAAGAGACTGCAGAAATGTGCAACAGCACCTTATATTTTCGAAACGAGACTGAAGAGTATCTATTGAGTACACGAACATCATAACTTTCTAATTAAACAATACATTAAATAGAACTGCCATTATCTTTCAAACCAGATGTGATAACGAGAATTATTTTCCGTGGATTCCCAAATGATTTACAAATTGTTTATAAAAATTTATCCCTTTTCAAACTATAAATACTAAATGCCACCGAATATTTTTTTCTAGTATCTTTCACAATGTACGTATGTTGCTATTTTAAGATATTCAGAAGTTCCTCGATTTATGTCCAGAAAGTTTCCCGGTTGCTTCTACGATCACTCAGTAGACATTTAATTCTACAGAGTAGTTATCGACTCTTTATTTTCTATGGTGGCTGCAGCTTTTAAAGTATCGCTGGAGAATTGTAATTCCATTTAAATAAGTTGCTATTTAGTTACTTGCTGCATTGAAATTCCTTTAATATCGGCTCGACGACGCACCGAAACAGGGGGGGAACGGAATGGTACCGATATCGAAGTAATGGCTAACAATACGTGTGTTCGAGAGAAACGATGTAATTCAATTAAGATCTAACGGTAGGTAGCAGTTCGTACTTCATTTTTGCGCGTCGGACGATGCAAATTAAAGTTTTCCTCCTCCCGCGTGTTTAGGCGTAATTCGACATGTTTCACCGTGCAACCCCGATGAACACGAGTTTTTCCGTTCTTCTTTATCGCGATGGATATTTTCTCCACTTTGCGTAACGACGTTCAGATGGTTTTTCAGCTGACTTTTTATGCAACCTTCCGTTACGGTAACAACGAGTCGACCGATTTCTTAAGCATAAAGGAAATTTTCCCATCCAACGCTACAATGACGAAACAATATGAAATTTTTAAGAGAAACAAACGACTCGGGTAATAGCTCCGATAAATTGATAACTAGTTGTGTACAAGTTTCCCAGAGGAAACGTTCACATAAATGAACAATTTATAACACAATATCCAGAACTTTGGAAACACTTCTCGTACATTTCGAAATGCCTTTTATATTGGAGTTTCATTAGTAGAGGACAGAGGAGGTGGGGCCAACGGCCGCCGGACTGTGCCGAAGAATGTCGAGGAACAGCTCGGGCCTTGTCCAAGCTGTTCGGGCGGTTTCGTACGCTCGACCGTCAACACGCAACGTCGTACCGCGGCGAGTTTACCACGCATCGGCCGGCCGTGATGATAAAAGTCCGTTGGTATTGCGACTGATCAGTTGGTGTCCGCAGCGTGACACGCAAACCGGTGTGCTTCGTACGAGAAGTCTACTCGCCACACTGGCTCTGCACCGTCTATCGTTGAGAAGGTACTGTTGCAAGAGAGAGTCCGACGACGACGAAATGTCCGCCAACAATCGGGATCCTGCCTCCGAGCAGCTGAACGACTACAAGAGGAACATGAAGGTAAAGTTTTCTTCACATTCTTTACGTCGATGCGTCTTCTTTTTCTGTTATTCGTCGTCTTTGCCGTGCATGTAAGTATTCAGTATTCTTTGTTTACCTAACGGTCGGTAAAACAGGTTCCAGTGGAATGATCCATGGATCACGATGTTTATTTTTGGTTTGGGGGAAGAGTAACTGCGAGAATTGGCATTGAAGCTTCAAAATGATTTTCTTGGGGATTTGAGGAAGTTGTAGGGCGTGATGGGTTTATTTAATATTGGAGTGCAGATGGTAAGGAGGATGGCGCGGGAAATATGATAGGCGGTATTGAAAGGAGAATTGTTAATGTATGTATTGAAATTAGAGATATTTGTGTATTGAAGCATATGAATATCATACGGTGTATAATGTACATATTCCAAAGACAATAGTTTTCTTTATATTTTTCGTACTATTCAACGTTATTTTACGTAAGAAGCGTGAGGTGTTTGCTGACCGTAACAGAGCAGAATTGAAAAACAAATTGTCGTATAAGCTGAGACAATGGGTGGGAAAATTGCAAATATCAACGTGTTGCATCAATACAGAACAAATTAACAGCAAACCGTAATAAACCGAATACGTACTTGCATTGTCCTATCTCTTCATTGAAATGGAAATGGAAAGAATGAATTATTGAAAAATTTATAGAGCATTGAATGGAAAAAGGCAAACAATAGTTTACCTTTGAAATAAAAAATGAATTCTGAAAGTAAATAATGGAAGTGAATATTTAATGAAAATCGTGGGTTCTCACGAACAATATGTCGTATAAATCGTGAAAGTTCAAACCCATGAAATTACTCACACAAATATTTGAATTCACGACAGTGGAAGTTACAGATTTAACGAGCGAGACATGTTGGAACTGCGAAGACGAGCGTAATAGGTGTTCAGAACTTAAACAGCACACGAACAGTCTGAATAAATTCCGACTGTGTTTAAATATAAATTAATTCAAAAAGGAAAGGTCAGAGAGGCGATGAATATTACTCTTATTAAAGAAATCGTTCTAAAAATAACCACTTTTACGAAATAATCTGAAATTGGAAAAGTTGAGTACACTTTGTCGGTACTATAGTTATTTCCTGTTTACACTTATATTCTCGTAATAGCTAATAAATAAAAGATTCTGAACTGAATTAAACGGGGCCGTTGAATAAAGTCTCGAAACATTACGGCTATTCATTTTGCAAGAGGTTAATAATATACAGTATTGTTTTTTTGAGATAATGACCGCGATCGATATCGTACTCGCTTGTCTTAAATCAAATCTGCATTGATTAAGATTCACTGGGTGTTGATCTTTGCCTGGTCTTATCGATTTCGTACACAAATGATTTAACGATACAAATTCGAACTTTCAACTGAAAAGTTTATACTGGATCAGCAACGGTATTTAAAATAAGATAATCTAAAATTCGTTTGGTTCGACACAGTTTTCATAACCAGATAAACTGTATGGTTTTATTTTACCATCGAGATATTAATCTAGTCGTATTTTACCAATAAAATATCACGGTAATGTTGATATTATCTCTATGAATTTTTACTCGCTAGAAATCCTGAGATTATCTCTACGTTATCGTAAAATTGAACCGATGATTTTGTTTGTTCGCTTTACTACTGCTTTCAGAATTTGATGTATTAAGTAAGTTCGGAAGAACTTTTCATAATGAGTGGCTGAAGTGTTCCAAGAAATCGGAGTGATTTTCAGTATCATTTTCAATTCAAAATTTGATCTTTAGGTATATACTACCAATATCTATTAAGGTACTATCAGGAATTTCCAACGATAACCGTCTGATCTTATCGGTACTGAAAATAGTTTGCGTGACACTGAAATTCTTCAGCTATCTCGTTGTTTAATCAGAATTTCTCACGCGATAACAATGCACCATTGAAAATAAAAGGTCTTCGTCAGTGAACGTGTCGCAACGTTCCATTTTTTAAATGGCTATCGTTAAACGGAACATCATTCTCCTTTTACCGATTGCCAGCCTATCATTCTGTGAATACAATATATCGGAAAAACTCAAATCTCTGCCTCTAGCTCCGACAGTCGTCGGTACTTTACGATCGGCCACTTCGTTACGCCTCTAGCGACCGTACGCCTCGTTAAAGTCGTATCTATGCGAACGCTGGTTGTTGTTCTTTCTCCCTTTCTCTTCTTCCCCGTTCTACTTCCAACCGGTCATTTTTTATCTATCATGGTCGAATAACTCAAACGGGAAATGATTGACATGGCACGACCGAGCGCAATCCTCCGAGGGATCGTCAGAAATTGCGAGCGTGGTCTCGTCTCGCGACACGGAAAACCGCGAATCGGACACGTTTTTTAGGCGTACCAACCGAACGACGATAATTGCCATAACGAGCGCCCGATGTGTGTCACGGTTGCGCACGCGATAAAGGAGAGAGCGAAAAAAAAAAAAAATAATCGCGTAACATCGGGGAGAAATGCTAAATGTCGACGTTTCACGCGACAATTCGGACGGTAGATAACGCAGATTGGCGTTCGATAGACGCCAGCTAAAACGGGCGTAACGATCGATTTCCCGTGGAAAATAGATCCTCGATTTTGCTGATGCGTGTCGTGAGACTTTTCTCTGACACGTTTGTTTATTACGGATTTTATGTATTTATAGCATATAGCAGTGTGTAGAATTCAGTGTGGTTGAAAGTATGATGAAATTTAAGGTTTTTTTTTTTGTTTGGAACCTGGTAGACTAGTAAATAAAGTAAAGGAACCTTTAGTTCATTCCAGTTCCTTTATACAAGGTAGTTCTAAAATCGAAACTTCGAGGGGTGGTTTTACTCCTTAAAGTCGCGTCTCAGCCGATAAAAAAAAAATACGCATCCCTTATTTTTGACTGTTTAACAGACATACGAAGTTTTATCCAGGGTTAACAAACGGTTAAATTGTTGCTAATATAGTCGACCATCGTGTTCACCAGTATTCCACACGATTCACTGGGCGGACTTGGTTTTATGTTTTCCATTTAGTACAACACGATGCACCACCACGGAATATTACGATATCGTTACGGGGATTGCATGTTGCCACTGCGCAAAACAGTGTTCCATAATCAAAGTTAGCTTATGACTAATCTCGTAGTTGCGGAATTAAGTGGTATAGCTGTACGGAACAAGGATAGAACACATTGCGTATGAGAATAGTTTCACTTCGCGTCTAGTCATAGAGAATTTCCAGGAAAACGCCGGGATAATTCGGTTAGACCCAAGGTTAAGTGACTTCCGGCACGAAACGTCCATGTTTGTTAGAGTTTCCATCGCCTAATTGGGAAATTAGTGAAACTGACTGATCTTTTCATTTTGGCAATGGATTGTTACCAGAGTTTTTCTACTGTTTTGAAGCAATAGCCCTTAACTGCTGCTATCCGGTCAATTCGACCATAGCGCTATTTAAAACTTAAAAAACGCCGTTAATTTTATAGTTGTGAATTCATGCGCCAATGTATTTTCTCATATTCTGAATGTCAGTCGACTGGTTGTGTAGTCGTGCTACTTATCAAGACATTTATTGCCGAAACGTAAGACTTGTTACTTGTGTCCTGCAAAAAAAGAAAGAAAGCATCGCATGGTTGTATAACTTGCCATAATCCTGTGTGCTTACAATGCTCGAGACATATTTGCAAGGAATTCTATATGAAATTTTCAGCTTTACCATTTTTGTATCTAATATGATTATGTTTACTTCCATACATGCTATAATTTTGACGATTTGTTCTATTTACTTATTTATTTCATTTTAGGAATGAATTCCTTCTCTTTTTACAAAATTAAAACACTTTTTCTAAACAAAATATCATCTAAAGAGTCTACTAAAATCTGGAATCAAATATTTTTTCTTACTCTTAAAAAAAATTCAGGTCTGAAAGGGTTTTTTATACTGGCACGTTCCGGTTTTGTCCGAATTTCCCCTGCATACAAATATATTTTAAAGAAACTTTGATGATTGCTATAAAATGTTTTTTATCTTTATAATAATAACTTTCCGTTGGTTCGCAGGGCGAAAATTCGGTGCTGTTGACCGGAAATGGAGAGCCGATCGCAAACAAGATGGCCAGTTTGACGGTGGGTCCGCGTGGACCCATGCTGATCCAGGACTTCGTCTATCTCGACGAAATGTCGCATTTCACCAGGGAAAGGATCCCGGAGCGTGTGGTGCACGCGAAAGGAGCTGGTGGGTTCGCTTGTCACGTTCCAGTCGTAACGTCGAATGTTTGTTGCACCATGAAGTGAAAAAGATTTCTCGAGTATATACTAAAGGATTTTCTGGATCACGGGAAATGTCCTGTTGGTAGTAAGACCTTTCCGATAATACGGTAGCGAAGAAATTTTCAGAACAAATTCTAGAACAAATTTCAGAACATATTCTAGAACAGATTCCAGAACAAATTTCAAAAAAAAATTTCAGAACTTTCAGGAGAAATTTGCAGAACACATTTTGGAAAGAAAGTGAGAGGGAAACATTGTTCGAATTGTAAATGATTATTGATTGCTAAAATTACTAAAACTTTAGATCACTTTCTGTTTTGAATTCGTCTGTAGTATCAATTAAAGCAGTCAATTATGGAATAGTATTGTTGATTCTCGAATTAATAAGAGAAATGATCGGTATTATGTAACGATAACCGCGTATTAATGTTATCTGCAGCGATAAAACAGTGGCAAAACGAGATAGATAAATACAGACTGCTTTCATAACATCTACGCATAACACCCATCCTTTCTTCTGTATTTCTGTTACACTGATAGTTAATCTAATCTCCCAAATATAATCAGTTTTTAATGCTAAATCAGGACATTTTTATGAAAATCATATAATACACTTTGTGAACCATAAAAAAAATACTACCTTAAAAAACATTCAGTAAATAGAATAGTCGTAGAAATCCCTCAGAAACGTACTGACTCACACATTCCTTCGTGTGGAACTATCTTAATAATTTTTCCAGATAGTGCGTATGTTTTCGTATTTCGTATTTAAATTACCTAAAATAAGGCGCACAAATAATGCCACAGATAACGGTAACATTTATACAAAAGTGGACGGAATGTATAGAAAATTCATGGACGTGAGATTATTATAGCAACGTATGTTTAAAATAGCTGATTATGCTATTTTATTATTTTTATTAAAATATTTCACGTAACAATTTCAACGAACCACCAACTATATCTATAATCTTGTTCTAAAATTAGCCAAAGAAAGCTACTTAATTCGGTAAAATAGCAACAGAAATGATAGTCCTATTTATTAAAAAAATAGCAATATCCTAATATCGACAATGTGTATCGTGTTCGGACGCTTATAGACAGTGTATATTCACTTTCACGCAATACATATAAGAGATCTCCATGGTATACGAAAACGTACCAAGAAAAAGTCTCGCTAAAGGTTGCAAGCTCTTTGGGTCCAATGTACGTAAAGCGTTCTCAATGTCCCTGCAACTTAGTGGTCCCCATAACCGTTCAGTGTCGAAACGTTACCTCGTTTTCTTATGTTTGGTCGCCCAGGTGCTTTCGGTTATTTCGAAGTTACCCACGACATCACGAAATACAGCAAGGCGAAGGTTTTCTCCCGCATCGGAAAACGCACGCCCGTCGCCGTGAGGTTCTCCACCGTGGGCGGCGAGTCCGGCTCAGCAGACACTGTTAGGTAATTATATGAACAAGAAAAAAGAACAATTAAAAATATTCGAAATATCGATACTTTATCTCCCATAACTAGTAATGAATTAACTCGTCTTATCTAATTGAGAAGCATTTCTAAATGACGAGTTAACTCGTCTTGTCCACAGAAGCATTTTCAAATGATGAGGTAACTCGTCTTGCCCACAGAAGCATTTTCAAACGATGAGAACTCGTCTTGCCCACAGAAGCATTTACGTCTGGAGTTAATTCGTCTTCGCTCGTTAAGTTACATAATCGTGTATTCTTTTGCACTGACTTCGTGCACTACATTGTGACTGTAAGAATACCTATTGTTTTTCTTTTTTTCATATTTTATCTTCTTTTTTCTGTATTTTTGTGGTTATCGCAAGTGTAACAAAGAAGCATTATTATTATTTCGTAAACGTTCCAACGAGCAACATTAAGTCGTCTCCGCGATACTCGCCCATCCGGTAAATTGTAAAACATAAATCAGAATAGGACGCCTATGATACGCGGGCAGCGCTTATTTTTTTTTTCATGGCTCGTGTTTCAATTTCACGACAGGCGAAATAAATTTGAATGTCGCGTGGCGCCACACCGTACGCCAAATAATCAAACGGGACGGCACCTGACGGATGCGATTGCCGTTTCGAATTGAACCATCTGAAAGGCTCGGCTCGATAAGTTTGAGGGACATCTGATTCCGCGCCGATGAATATTCATGCGATGCACGGTCGCCGCGTACTGCACGGCAGCCTGATAAAATTGTTTCGCGACTGGTCTAAAAATGTATTACAATATTTTATTCCCGATGCACGTGCTTTGCATTCGCGCCGCCTGTAAAACTAACAACAAATCGGACGAACAAAAAACCGCGCACGTTTTATCGTCTGCGGTTGGTGAACATGCAGGCGGCCTTTTTTTTTTTTGTAGATTTTATTATCGTCGATCAAGCTGCTGAATGTTTAATTTAGAATATATACAATCTTGGAATAAAACGTTAGAGAAAGTTCGCGTAAAAAGTTCGATGAAGATTTATGAAATAAGACAAAGATTGCGAAAGAAGCACTTCTAAGGGAAATTCTATGAATAAAAATCTTGAAATTGTTTGCTGATTTATAAACATTATGCAGGTTGATATTGTATAATCTGGTTAACTCCTTCGAAGTACCATGCACGCAACAAAACTCCTATCGGCTCAAGTATGTAGAATCGAGAATTCGGTGTAAAAACCAAGTTTCCTTGCGATTCGCCCTGCTGAACGGTCGAAAGTCTCGTAAACGATTGCAACCACCCAAGTTTCGAGTTAACCGACTTCGGTGGTTCGGAAACAGTGCGAAAAATCGAGGCGGCCGAGCGCGTCGTCCTTGCGTTAGCATGAAAATGTTTCCTTCTTCTTCGAGACAGCAATTCCCTATTAATCGTATCGATTGCAGGGCATTGGTCTCGGGTTGCGTTTTAATTAACGTCTCGATTTGCTTGTCTCGACGGCGCAGCATGCAATTGGACCCCCTTGGCATCGATCATCGACGCGAAGGAGGATCTTGTCCAGAAACAGGACTCCCTGGACTCGTTTGTCTCACACGATTAATAGTTTCGTTGTTCCGGTTGCAGGGATCCCCGTGGCTTCGCGGTTAAGTTCTACACCGAGGAGGGTATCTGGGACTTGGTGGGCAACAACACGCCGATCTTCTTCATCAAGGACCCGCTGTTCTTCCCCAGCTTCATTCACACTCAGAAGAGGAATCCTTCCACCCATCTGAAGGTTCATTTTCAGTCATTCACGCGAAGTTCATCCAGTGAGGCGCAAGTCAAGCTCTGGAGCTTAGGTTTACCCCCTTACATTAGCGTGGTTATAGGTTCTGAATAAGATACAGCGAACTGGTAGAATTGACTCTTTGTGAAAGTGGTACTATACTACTGAGAACGTTGAGCAGCAATCTATTAGGTGTACTTATTGCGTGTTATCATATCGTATCACTGCTGTGTGTCAATTTGGACAGGCAACCGTTGCATTGTTGCGTATGAAAATGTATCGTATGGTGATAACATACGATCATACGCAACGGTGACACGATACGAGGATACGCAACAAATGGATACGCACCTTTAGGTGTTCGTAACTGTAGAAAACGTCTACCACGGATAAGTACGCGTGTTAAATATTGTGTCGTTCATGGAGATAATTCAGAAACCCCCCGGACAATTATTCGTTCCACTTACCCCAGGACACGTTTTTCTCATCGAGAGCAGCTGTGGCCAGGCGTTTATAGAGTCATTACGAGCGAACAACTCCATTAACGTTATCCATACTTCCACATACCACCGTGTATCCGTGTGTCTCCCATCTAATTATAGCGTACGCCCCTCTAAACGGGCCTTGTTAATTGAATTGTTTCGCACAGGACCCGGACATGTTCTGGGACTTCATTTCACTGAGACCAGAGACAACGCACCAGGTCATGTTCCTGTTTGCTGATCGCGGCATTCCCGATGGTTATCGTCACATGAACGGTTACGGCTCCCACACGTTCAAGCTCGTGAACGCCAACAACGAGGTGGTCTACTGTAAATTCCACTACAAGGTGCGCTGTCTGCTCCAAGGAGTATAATACTTGTTCGATAAAGAAACTTACGTCGTCTTATGTGTCGCTTGGGGTAGCTTCACTTCGGAAGAGAACGCAAGAATTCCCGAGGAATACTTTGGAGGATTCTAAAGGACTCTATTTTGTTAACTCAAACAAATTAAAGTGAAAAAAAAGGGTGCTCTTTGTTTTTGTAAATTCTATCCATATAGACGTATAATATCTAGACCGCGCGGTGTCAATGTATCCTGTAGTTAGACCGTGTCAAAAATTATAAAGAGGTAGCTGCTGTACGGTCGCCAACCTATCTTTTCCTAACGACGCGTGGTACGATAAAGAAGTTTTTGTGATATGGGAAATAGATAAGTACAGAGATCTTTAGGTATTCTGCTTTTTGTCATTAGCACGTCTATCATCTGATCATGATAGTATTTAAATTCGCCTATCATTCTGTCTGGTTTCTTTCACTGTGATTTGCTAACGAATATCGCTTTTTTTCTGACGATATTTTTCTACGCAGACCGACCAAGGAATCAAAAACCTCCTGGCTGAAAAGGCGGCGCAGTTAAGCGCCAGCGATCCCGACTACTCTATCAGGGATCTTTACAACGCGATCGCTGCCAACCGATGCCCGACCTGGACATTCTTCATTCAAGTTATGACGCAGGCCCAGGCGAAGACCTTCAGATGGAATCCGTTCGACGTAACCAAGGTAACGAACCCACGATCGCCTGATCGTTTTACGTCACTCGTGGGAAACTAGAGCTGCCAATCGTACTAATTCTATTCAGAGTTCATACGTGTATCCATACAATTCCGTCAACCGTGAATTAATAATGGATGAATCTTGCCCGCGAGAACGATGAGATATGAGCGGGGGGAACTCTATAATCAATGGTTTCTTATTTTACCCGCGGGGTATCGGTTCGGATTGATTTTGAATTCAGATCCTGATTGGAATTTTCAATGAGTATATTCTGTGGGAAAGGAGTACGTTTGCAGCACATTGATCAGGTAGGTCGATGTTTATAAAAAAATTCCACGCGAAATCGGACATTTTTTGGAGCACCATTTCGGATTTTGTTCGAGTTTCGATATGTTGCGATATGAGTTCGATAAAAATCAACAATTTTTTTAATTTTCACAACTCCTTCGAGACACGTTTATATATCGCTAAAGACTACAACGTATCCAAAGTCGAACAAAATCCGAAATGGTCCTACAAAAAGTGTCCGATTTCGCGTGGAATGACCCAGTTTTGATATGAAGTAGAAACTGTTCGAAGAAAGAATATTTATTGTAATTAGTGCAACGAACCACCGCTTGAGATTGTAACGTAACTTTTCGTACTGGACTGGAGCGATGCTATTCTGTGATTAAAGGAATGTCTTCCCTCTAAATCGAACAGATATGGCCGCACAAGGAATTCCCGCTCATCCCTGTCGGCAAGCTGGTGTTGGACCGAAATCCTGAAAATTACTTCGCTGACGTGGAGCAAATGGCCTTCGATCCGGCTCACATGGTGTCCGGTATTGAGCCGAGCGCTGACAAAATGCTGCAGGGACGTCTGTTCGCTTACGGGGACACACATAGGCATCGACTTGGCCCGAATCATCTACAATTGCCAGTGAACTGTCCCTACAAAGTAATTTCTCCGTCTTCTGTTCGCTTCTCTACACGCCTCTAACGTGTCCAGTGCAATTAACACCAATTTTCCTCCGTGAAATTTAGAAAGTTACGGACTTCTCTCTCTGTCGTTTCTTAAGTAAATGGTCTTTGGTCATTGATAAAACTAAATACTAACACTGGACGCGTTAAGGAACACAATTTCCTAAACTCTAAACTTCTAGAACAAAAACCGCCAATGAAGGCGAATCATCACTTGAAGAATTCAAAATTAGATTATTAGGAAGATTCATTGGTTTCACCATCAATAACGTATAGACTTCATACATTAGATATGCAAGAACGTTTCTTTGTCTCTCTATCCCTATTTCACTTAAATTGGGTAATAAACACACTTGGATTCTTTTACGCAAAGGGTAGCGAAACACCGTCAGAGAGATGGAGTACCTACGTCGAAACTTTAACTAATTTAACTAATTTACTAAAACTTACGTATCAAACGTTTTGCTAAAACTTCATTCTTCCAAATTAATCTGTGGTACTCATCTTTTCGATACACCCTGTATACTGACGCGAAAACTCGGCTTCTGCTAGGGGAACGAGTGGCATACGAGCAAGGCTGCCTACCACTTGGTAAATTGATTTCAAGCACTAAAATAAATATTAAATCCAATATTAATTTGACATAAATTTCAGTGATTCCCGAGACCAAGTGGTAGGCGGCTCTTCTTCTACGCCTTTTTTTTCCCTAGCAAAAGTCAAGTTTTGCTCGTGAGGGTGCACCGATCTCATAATTTCGAAATAACGATTTGAGTAGTCTGAACATCAAAGGGTTAACGAATATTTTTTCTAGGCGATTTCCGCGATGAACTACCAACGTGACGGTCTCATGACATTGTACAACCAAGGTGGTGCCCCGAACTACTATCCGAACAGCTTCAATGGGCCGAAAGAGTGTCCAGCGGTTCGTTCGCCGAGCTTCTGCGTGAGCGGCGATGTAGACCGTTACGAGCCGGAGAACGAGGACGACTTCGGTCAGGCAACCACATTCTGGCGGGATGTGCTTGACAGCGAGGCAAAGACTAGGCTAGTTAACAACATGGTGGCCAGTCTTCGTAACGCGTCCACGTTCATCGCCGAGAGAGCGGTGAAGAACTTTTCCGAAGTGGACGTCGAGCTCGGTCGAAGACTGACCGAGGGGCTTCGCAAAGCCGGGATGAGGATCAATGTCTTTGGCAAGACGGCTAGCCTGTGAAAAGATGTATCATTTTTCTCTTTTTCTTTTTTTCTTTATTACCGTCACTTCGATCGACACTGTGTCTGCTGTAATTATCATCGTCTCGTTTTACGAGTTAGTTACGTCCACCATTATATTTGTTAATATTTTACACGAATAAAGGATATTATTAGTTTCGTACGAGGTGGTTGTTGGTTATTTAAATGGATGGATTTTCGAGTGCGTACTTTGGAATGAAATGGACGATCGTTTGATCTCCGTGAAACTTTTGCTCGGCGAAGGATATGATACGGGGAGTGGATGAAACGTTACATTGTTGTTTTCGTTTTGGCCTTTTTAGATGATATTTAGTTTTACGAAATCCATAGAAGCTGTGTTGTTGTTCAGAGGGTAGGGCTCATTTTCTGTTCCCCGATTTCCTTATGATTGTTATTGGCAACCGATTTTGATGACTTAGAGCATACTTTTTTGTACTTTATTTCTTTACTGTAACTTAGTAGGTTTTGTTTATGTTTATGATTTTATATGATAGAATAAAGACAGAAATATGAAATAGTAAATAATAATCGTACCTATGAATTTACAACGCTTTATTGACTACACTGACTTGTCGTGTTCATGATTCTGGTAACTATAGTAAAGTGGTCTTTGGAACGATATCGCGAGGAAGTTAATTAACTGCACGTAGAAACTGTTTAACAAGACACCGTTCGTCGTATTGCAATTCCAACTGCTGTAATTAGAAGAGTAATTATTCTCGCGATAGGAGGATAACATTTCAAATTTTGTTTTGTAGAAGCGGCTGATCTGTCATACTTAACAGTTACAAATGGGCAGAACTTCTGGTATACTAGATAAGGAAGAATATTTCAGACAAAAAAGCATTGAACGATGACTATCTGTGTGATGTACGAACAGTTAATTAATTATAAGTAGTGCTTTGGTAATTTTTTCGCCTTATTCGATTTATTTTCTCTTATATAGGACATGTTCGGAAACCAGATACACCAAACGTACAGTAAAGTGTACATAATGACATAAGTCAACAATTTGTTCGATGTGTGTGTGTGCCACTCTAAATTGATCTAAAGTTTCCATGAAACTTTTAATAAAATTATAATGCCAATAAGATAAGATTCTTTAATAAAATTTGGCACTTGGTCTAATTATGGAAATGAAGTATATAATTGGGTCTTGTAGATAGATGATATGTAGCGACACACGTGTAGTCTACTCGAGTGTTATTAATTAAAAACGCAGAACTGGTTTATGTAAAATTTTGATCACAAAAGGTATCTTACAGTTCGATTACCACAGTTTCAAAATGTTAAAATGTTCTTGCGAATCATTTATATATCATATAATAAATATACCTAAATAACAAAAAAATATTTCTTTGGTAATTTTAAAATAATTTCGGAATGAAAGGATCAAAGAAACATTCGACGTTAATTAACGAAGCGGTTCAACGCGGATCGACGTTTTTTTAATTTCGCTGTGTGACCTCTGGCTCAGTTGTTCGCGGCCGACAAGAAACACCAATTGAACGAAACTCAATAAAAACTGGTTTTTCCTTGTCGAACACGTCAGGAAGAACGTGGTCTGCGGTCGATATCAGTAACCCTACGGGTTATCTACGATGAAAAATCCCCGAGTCTCGCCGCGCAGTGAATCCCAATCGTCTGAGATTTCCGTTTACAGCCGATCCGTTGCACGCGCATCGCTACGAATTAATATCAATCACATTATCCGTCTATATTTATTATATCTATATTTATTCTTCAAAAGTGTTAATTTTAGAGGAAAAAATATTTTTTACCTTCAATTCTATCTTTCTTCTTCTTTTTAGGTTTAATCTCAATTATGATTAAGTTTAATTTTATTAGGTATATGTTCTTTCTGTTTTTTTGTATGTATCTGAATATACATATATTGAGCGAATTTACGCCCGTTACGCGTGTAGGATGTAATTAATCTATGTATTTATAGCCCGTAGGGCTCTGTGAAACAAAATAAACAACGAAACTTTCATCGGATTCAATGAGTTTTCCATTTTAGAAAATGTCATTTTCCATGAAAGTCAAGTTATCACTTACCACGTATGTGTGCCAGTCTTCTGTATAATTTTATCGTGAGACATAAAATAACAATGATATGTCTACGCTCTATGAAAACAAGAATTGTGCAATGTCAGTGCACTTGAGTGTCACATATCATTGTTATTTTACGTCGTACGATAAAACTATACAAGAGGCTTGGACAAATACACAATAAGTGATATCTCTGTACTTCTCTTGAGGTCCCCTACATCCTGCAAAGTTTACAAAAAATGGGAATTTTCGGGTTGCCGAACTTCTCTTGTAAGAAAAAACTTAAAATTAAATATGATAAAATTATTTTTGCAATTAGTTTGTATTATTTGTAAGTAGTTCAATAAATACTAACAACACGCATTTGATTAAATATTGTATTTACTGAAAAAAAGTCCCCAAGCAGAGCTCAACCTTTTCGGCCGTCAAAGTAGAACGACCCCTTAATGCTACTATAACACAATTTTGAAATATCAGGAAGCAGTATTAGAAATATAGTTTTAAGAAAAGCGTACAGGTTGTGTGATCGTGGTTAAAGTTAAAATCACGTGGAATCAAATGATTTCGCGGGGATAAGTAACCATACTGATAGAAGTAAATCGTTTACAATATGGACAAAACAGGCTGAAAGATATACATATAGAAAACATACATATACTCAGGATTTTTATGGTTGTCTGTTGCCTTTGGCATCATAAAATACTGGTTGTGTATGTCACGTGTTATATTGTTTATTTATACTTAATATCAAGCTGACTGGACATTCGTCGGGGATTTACCCGAACGCTTAGATCCGATAGAAACACTATATAAACTGCCGGAGTTCCTGAACAATTATCAGTCTTCTCTCAGACAATTTTCCGGGTAGAACGTTTAATTTAAACGAGAACCAAGATGGTGAAAATCTTCTTCCTTGTCGTCCTGCTCTTCGTAGCTGTGGCTGCTGTCATGGCTGCACCCGTTGGTAATTGAAAAATTTTAATTGTCCTTTCCTGAACAATTCTTGAATGATCAAATTGTACAAGCGTTCACATTTGTTGGATGTTAATTTATGGTACGTCAATTGTTCTTACATATCGATTAATTATTTGTATAAATTTCAGAGTCGGATGCGTGCCGACAGACAAAGAAGAGTGACCTGTGATCTTCTATCCTTCGGAGGATACGTTGGCGACAGTGCTTGCGCTGCCAATTGTCTCTCGATGGGCAAAGCCGGTGGTAGCTGCCAAAACAGTATCTGCGTCTGCCGCAAGTACGTACGATAGTCTGTTAAGCGCATAATTTATTACCCCCCCCAACCCTATTTTTGTTGCCGAGGGTCGGTCTTTGGGAAAACAATAGATTTTTGAGGTGTTGAAACGATTCGTAGTGCACCGTGAAAGTTTTAAAGCGAACAATATTAGAATCTCAAGAAATGTTGTTTGCTCACACGTATAATTTCATATCGATAAAGTGCAACCCATTATCCTGTTCTACTTCTTTCAGGAAAACCTTCAAAGATCTCTGGGACGAGCGATTCGGTTGAACGCAATCCTTCGCGTGAACACCGAGGCCCGATGGAATTTTCTGCGTGACAAAGACTGTCGAGAATCTTCGAGGAACGTCGAAATACACTGAGGAATATATGTGGTACAACAATGGATCGTCGGGCCTCGAACATTCTATGGATCTTGGAATTCCATCGTATTTTACGATACGGCATTGTATTATATTTCGTGTATGTTTAAGTTCAAAATAAACGTGGTCCAAAATTTTACGACAAATTATTTTTTTGAATAATTAACCCTGTTCTTCCCTACTTCAGTCAACAATTTGACGTTATTATGGCATACAAACTACTTATTTATTTCGATATATAAGCTGATAAAAAAAATACGTATTTCTTATTTTTGACTGCTTAACAGACATACGAAGTTTCATCAAATCGGAGGGGGACACTTCCGTGCCTTCCCCTGTAAGTTATAATTTTGCTGTATTTCGAACTTATCTCGAAATAAGCATACACAATGTGCGACCATGGGTGACAATCATGTAGAATCAAATGGTTTCGCAGATGTTTTAGAACATCTGTCAATCAGATAAATAATAATACTGATAGAAGAAAGACGCGTACACTACGGAAAAAACCAGGCTAAATTGTATGCAAGGAAGTATACATATAATACGTGTTTAATGATTGTAGCTTCTGCGACCATAAAGCACGACCGTTTGTGTGGATGTGTGTCACGCGTTGTATTGTTTACTTTTACTTTACATATCCAGCTGACTGTACATTTGCCAGGGTCTTACCCGAACGCTTTATACCCAAAACTGTATATAAATTAACGGAGTTTCCGAACGATTATCAGTCTCTTCTCAGTCTATTCTCCGAGTAGAACGGAAACCTAAACGAGAATCAAGATGGTGAAAATCTACTTCCTTGTCGCCCTGCTCTTCGTAGCTGTAGCCGCTGTCATGGCTGCACCCGTTGGTAATTAAAAGTTTTCATAATTAATTCTTGAACGATCAAATTGAACGAGTATTCGCCGTTACTTTACACTACTTATTCATTGTAGAATTTGAATTCATTGATAAAAAATAACTGATCAGATTTATGCATCCAAATAACTCTTTGTATAATTCCATTACTCTCCAATTTAGGCAGGGTTAAAGATGTTAATTTCTGGTACGTCGATTGTTCTTACGTTTCGATTATTGTATAAATTTCAGAGTCCGAGATCGAACCCCTCGAGTTTGAGCGTGCCCACAGACTAAGAAGAGTAACCTGCGATCTTCTATCTTTCGGAGGATACGTTGGCGACAGTGCTTGCGCTGCCCATTGTCTCTTCAAGGGCAAAGCCGGTGGTCACTGCGACGAAGGTGTCTGCGTCTGCCGCAAGTATGTAGCTCCTTCTACTCGTTGGATATTGCAGATACTGTTAAATTTTGAGCAAAGCTGTTTCGTGCTAGTCAGAAGCTCTTATCGACTTTCAGTGAATATAATCGCTATCACAGATACCTTACATAGTATTCTACTGCAAAAGACATAGATTTTCAAGTTGAAATTAATTGTAGATTTATATTTGTTACTCTTTTACGCGTGTACAAATATTTCCATCAGGTTTAAGGGGTCTTGCTCAGTTAGAAATTTTCAAAAAATCGATTTTTCACTTTCTACATTTTCTTTAAGTACAACATCTCGAGAATATTCTGTGCAAGTTTCAAGGTAATCCAATTAAAAATGACAGAGTTACAGGCGTTAAAAAATGAACATGTTATAGAAGTGTAAGCTTGACTTGAAACTTTAAACGCGTTTTTCTCGAAACTACATTTTTCAAATCGGTGATCAATATTTCTCGAAAACTACTGTGTCGATTTACATGAAACCTTTTGCGCCTTATTTCAAATCAGAAAAACTTGTCCTTGAACGAACGATTTTTTTTCGTTTCATACTTTTTTTTTAATTGACTAAAAACGAGTGATTTTTAGGTGAAAATCGCACTTTTTTAGAAAAATGTCCGCCATTTTGTTCCTAATCAATATTTCGAAAAACCCCATGTTCAAAAACAAGATTGGTTCTTCCATTACATAAATCTTATTGAATTTTTACTTTCAGATAAACCGCCACGAAGTTACAGTGATCACGGTAGACAACATTCTGTGAAGAGATATCTAGGAGATCGCTTACCATTTATTTACTACTAATAAATATTTTTAAATAAAAAAATTACCTCATAACCTAAAAACTGCAATCTTTGAAACACAAACGCATTTTTTCTCAAAAAAAAAACACTGTTTTTTCGGCCTCCTGATTGAGCATGACCCCTTAAGTACCCATTTTCGTGGAAGTATACCATAAAGACAGTTATGTCTGATTTATACGTGCGTCCCGGACTTATTCTACTTATGGATCAATCAGCAAACATAAATCTTACGGCAGTGGTGGCGAACCTTTCTACAATCGGTGTCAAAGTATTCGTACACCCTTTAACTCCTTCGCATCGGAGGACGAGATATCTCGCCACGTGATTTCGTTTATGATATGCTTTGAACGAAATATCTCGCGACACAAAATCGTTCATGCGACGCTGTGTACGGAAAATCTCGCCTTTCTAGAAACGTAGTTCTGTTTTGTGCTACTATTGTTGCAATAATACTATACTGTTGTAGAAATTGTGATCCCTGTCTATACATCTGACACGTTTCGTGAACAATTTACTTTGAAAACAACCTTGCACAAAATTAAAGAAATCTCAGCCAAAATTCACAAAATATAAAGCGATGCAACTAATTTGGTGGTACATTTAAAAGCAATAAATTAGCAAAGTGTTACAAGTGCTCAGTGATTAGATGTGACAGAAACATTTTCTCAGATATTTTGTCGGAAGAATTCATTCGAAGAATTCCAAATAAGGTAAAAATCTGTATCGCGAATGCTTTTTGATAATACGATGGTATTGGAATCTGAAGAAATCATTCTGTTTGCTCACACGCGTAATTTCACCTCGATAAAGTGCAGTCTATTATCCTGTTCTGCTTCTTTCAGGAGCAGCATCAAACATCTCTGGTAAAAGCAATACGGTTGAATGTAATCTTTCGCATGAACACCGTGGCTCGATGGAATTTTCTGCGTAACAAAGACTGTCGAGGATCTTCGAGGAACATCGGAATACTCAGGGACACATTGTGATACAACAATGGATTCTCGTGCGTCGAAGATTCTATGGACCTTAGAATTCCATCGTATTTAACGATACGACATTGTGTTTCGTGTATGTTTAAGTTTGAAATAAATCACGTTGAAAATACCATGAGTGATCGATTTCTTATCTGTTTCTGTGAACTTAAATATCCGCAGTTTATCGATCGGACATTTTTTCACTGCATTCGACGAATACTATGAGTCCTTAAAGTCTTAAATCCTTTCTTCCGAACACCTTATATACATGATTCCTTTCCCCTATTCGAGCAAGGAAATACATACTCCGCATTCAACGCAACACGACGATTCCACGTGAAACAGAATATCCACAAAAAATAAGGGTATAAAGATCACGGGACGAGCGAAACAAGGAGCGAGATTTCGAGCAGGAAGCAGGGAAAACCAATACGCCCCAGTGCGTCGGTATGCAATTAAAGGGTTCAAGAGGAAGAGAGATGGCATACACACTGTCGATATTTTTCGACCAGCAATTATTGGAATCTTTTTTTTTTCCCCCGCTGATACACGCGAGGAATATAACCGGATCGAGCCCCACGATAGAGGCTCCTGGCAGGACTCTTCCGCGTGGAGGGTCCTTCAGGAGCGGATAAATGCGGCCACTATATGCACTTATGGTTCTTTCCGCGCTTTCATTAAAAATTCGACTCTGCTCTTTCTAAAGCACCTCCAGGCCTTCGCCCCTCCATCGTCGTTTCTATTCCACCTGATTCTTCGTCTCCCTCTTTTTTCCCTTCCATACCATCGGTCTAGGTCTCTTTTCCGCTCGACGATCCTTCCTTCTATTTTTTTTACGCCACTTTTCGTTCATGCAGATCGCCAGTCAGTCATGCTCTCTGTAGATGGAGCCGGGTTTTTTTTTTATCTTTGTTCGTTCCACCGGGCAGCGTCCGTTGAAAATAATTTCCTACGGTATTCTACGCGGGTATACCCGGGCCCTCTTCAGCAATAAATTCGGATACCGGTTACCTGGGCTGAATTGAAAATAACCAGCGTCCTCTACGCGCTAGTACCACCGCGAAAACGTTTGTCTCGCGTCGGATTGTCGGGTGGCCAGGCGGATATAGGGTATGCCGTTCTTGTGTTCTATGGAGAAATCGAGGCAGCTTTTGAATTAACATTGTCACCGTTCCTTTTTATCCGAATTTCGAGGGTTCGTGCGTGTCTCGCTGGACGTTGAAAGAAGTTGTTCTCTGTCGATTCAAGGTACGGAAGGTACTGTGTGCTTTCTTTGGGAGCTTTTAGTTTGGAGAAATGCAAGTAATTTTTTTGAAGAATGGTATTCTACAATATGGTATTATTCAGATTAGTATACAGTTTCTTCTGATTAGTTCTTTGATAACTTCTTTCTTTATCTGTTGTAATATGAAAATATATCGATGTTCTTTTTTCTGTTCTTCTATGTATGTTGGTATAAAATGGTATTTTATGTATAAAGTAAGCAGTTGTTTATAATAAAAAATGTCTCTTAATTTACAGTAGTTACCATTTTTCGTGATCTAGAACGCGCGATACCAAAGAGGAAGAATCTTCGGCCGTCGACGAAGAGATGTCTCCACGTGCTCCTACGCCTGCCTGGTTTTATCGCGCAGGAAACACATAGAATAGAGAGATACGTTCGAATTTTTATACTTTAAAATACTGCAAGTATTATACAGGGTCGGAAATCGTAGTACAACCGGGCAGGGAGTGATTCTATTCGAGACTGTTTTCGAGGTTCTCGTCCCGAGATCTAGTGGTATCGGGGATCGAATCAAGGGGATGGGGATGCTGGTGCCAAGGGTGTATTCGCGCTCGTGTCCTCGGAACGAGTGACCGGTTTTGGAAATAATGCGAGGCGAACGGGCAGGAGTACAGGACGGGTTCGGTTGGCACGCGAATTAACCGGCCAGGAAATCGGATTACGTCGTGACCCACACACACAGCGCACCGGCTGTCTACTAACTCTTGCATTAGCCCCCTTCGAGCAAATTACGTTTATCCCTGGGTGGATGCGAACGGGGACGATCGGTCGCGGCGCCCGTGAGGCACTTCGCCTCGTTGCGCCTGGATAAATTGCTAATTCGCGAGTCGCAGAAACAACGGCGGTCACGGAAATAACGCGAGACTTCGTCTGTTCAAGGTGAATACAAATTCCTCTCGATTATCGTCCCGAACTCAGGTCCGCGCCGGGACAATAATTTTACAGGGAGAAGTTTTCGTTAACAAAAATGTTAATCAGAGCGCGAGTCTGCCGGCCGAGTTACATTAGACATGGGAACATTAGACATTACTGTATTAAAAAATCCTCGAAATCCAAGATGACTAGGGCTTTATAAATAATTACCAAATATATTTCACATGCATAAAGTTATGCACCGATGAAGTACTTTGGACCTAAAATTTCATAAAAATTTTGAAAATGAAGTTAATCAGTTTCGCCTGTGAATGGCCCAGAGATTATCGATTATATCCTAACAAGTGTCGAAATACATCTAAACGGCACCGTATTTCGGTCACAGTACGTTCGAAGAAATCTCCGACTCGTTCACGCGGAGCCACGTGTCTTCTTTTTAAACGGGCGATCTTGTCTTCCTTTTCCACTTCTATTTCGTGATCTCGTTACCGTAAATCTTTCCCCGCCCCCTTTTCCCCGGTGTGCTCCCGCGAACCTCGGTAAACCGATAGAATCGAATTATTCCCTTCGCCTCCCTCAGCCGAGAGGAGAATACAGATGAAGTGTTGGGTTTGAAGTGCTCCTCCTACGAACCGATAAATCTTTTCGAGGGTACATACGTATACACGGGCACCGCTATCAGTTTCGTTGAACAATGAAATCATTTCCGCGCTCTGGGATCGCTTGTTACCTCACCCCCTTCCCCTCCACCAACACAATGTTTCTCAGTAACAGATAACTGAATTAAGCCTGGAAACCATGATCGCTGGAACAGACGAGAGCCTTGGTGCGTGCACGGTTTTGTTACTTGTCCCTCGCGTGACTCGAGTCGCTTTGTTCATGGTGAAGCGTGAACGAAGAGTGTAATTCAAGAATAATTATATCACCCTATGAATAGAGCGATATTGAGGACCTGGCAGCAAGAAGGGTGCAGTTCCATTTTTGACAGCTTTTTAGTTATGATTTGCAATATTCGTAAAAACAATCTACATGATACGATTTATCGAAAATTTTGTACCTAAATCCATTACTGTTTTGCAAGCAGCTCCAGATTTGAAAAATTCATCAAAAATAGATACAAACACTGATCCATTTAATAATTACTGTTTATTGTGCGAAAATATATGTTTTTTAATTAGTGTACTTTTTTTAATTTTAAGTCGAAGCAATAATTTTATAATCGGTCTCTTCTCATTTACTTGGTCAAAATGGAGCTGCACCCCTCTTCCGGGAAAGTCCTCCATTTAGTACCACAGGTCTTCATCTTCATTTGTTTCGTGTTAAAAGCGAACCTTTGATTATACGCGCGTGATTAGCGGGCCGAAATCGCATTGACCTTTTGCGGATCACGAGCTCGAACGGTGCTCCTAAAAACGTTTACGGTCGATTGATCCGGGAGCCGGTTTGCGAGATAAGGAAGAGAAAAACAAAATATATGAAAAGCTGATTATCAACGAGCACACCGTGCATGGCGTCGATGAGATAAAAAATATATTCGAGATGAAACGGAACCGTTCGACGTGAAACCTGGCAGAGCGGGGGGCGGATCCCCGGTGGAATTTACAGAATAAAAATTTGACGCGGTGCCAGGCAGCCGCGGTTATTAAAAATGGCCGCGGACACGGGGGTAACCGAGCCCACCCGATTCGACCAAATTCGCGTTACAATGCAACCGAAATTACGGAACGTTTGACCCATAAATGTAATAATTTCTCCAACTTCTATAATCGCGACTGAAATGAAAAGTTTACGAGAATTCGAGGCTCGGGCCATTTCGAAATATAGTTTAACAATTAATAATCGTTGTTGAGATAGCAACGTAATAAATGGAATAGAAATGGAATGATGGAAAACAATTGCTTTCCATCATTTATTTTGTCCAATTTTTTTTATACTGTTGTTGTTGGTGCGTTAAAATCATTTCATTCCACTTCAAAAAATAGAAGAAAAAGTGTTTTGTTATAAAACAAAATTCATGATTCAGAGGAATAGAATATTGGAAATATAATACAATACTTTTGCTCATTTCTTTAGTTCCCTTTTTACAAGTACTGTTTGTGCTTCAATCCTTCTTCAGATTACGGGGGCTGCAGTAGTTCTCCCCAAATCTTTAAAGTAAGCACGCTTCAAAGCGTGCTGATGCAATTATTTGAAAATTTATGTAATCCTCTCTTATATCATCAAGTTTTGAAATATTGCAAACCAAATCTGTTTGCACCCGCCAGTTCCTGGAATAATGGTTCTGCAGAATCGTCTAAATTTATAAATCCGAATAAGGATTAAAATTGTTTTGTTCTACAATTAAAAAGATAATATACAAAAAATATTATAAAAAGTTTTCATTATAAGATGAAATTTGTTGGGTTAATATATCCACAGAAAATTCCACGATTCATAGTAAGATCCGACTACATATTAAGATATTAACATGTTGTAGATTTTTTGTTACGATATTAACAATTGCGCTGGGAAATAATACAACAAAAACGGTTTCTTGCATATTGATCGACCGTTCGGCGATTATCGAATAAAGGTACAAATTTACCGTGGTACGTTGATTAAAATCAACGGAACAACGTTCGCGGGGAGATTGCACGCGGCGCGTAAATTCATTCGATCCGACAGCCCAGCGACATATTTTCCACCGGAAACTACGGTCCCCACGCGAATTTCGATTTTACGTATTTTCGTAACTC